ACAGAAGGGCCCTCATATGTAACTTTTTATATAAGTCGTATTTTCAGCACTCTCTGGATGGTTGTCTCACAGAAATAAATAAATAAAAATAAACCCAACACTTACTGTCAGAGAACAAAACCAGTCAGTTATCTTACTATATGATCCAAATAGAAGGGGTTAACTAAGGGTTAATTTGCTCAGGCTAGAGAATATTAAAGTGGAAGTGTTGCATTAAAGACTCTGAGGTCTAAAGTCAACAGCACAAAGCTTAACTGAGATAGACGTTAAGTGATGCTATATTGTTAGTCAAGGCTGCAGTGAAACTGCTCCACTTTGTAACTTAAACAAAACTAACCACCTACCAACCCGCCCCTGCATTTACTCATGTGGTTAGCCGTGGTTTTCCCTTACTGTTGGTCTTTCTTAGTTCCTTTCCCCTGTGACACATGCAATGGGTACATATACGTTATGGTCTGTTGTTAGGTGTTTGCAAACAAGTGTGCCTCCTCTGCATTAAACTATGCTGCAAGGCTAAAGACTGTAGTTCAAGGTGTTCAAGGTGATATGAGATGGATTTCTTGAGCAGTCAGGCAGAAATGTGAAAAAAATGTGTTTTTTTGGACTAAATCACATAGTGAGCTGTAGCATGCTATGATATTATTATACACACAACAGTGAGTTTGAAGTGTTGACTTGGCCCCCCAAATCCCCCAGATCTCAATCCACTTGCTAGACAACTCGTTCTGATCCATGGAGGCCTCACCTCATAGCTGACTTCAGTTACCATCTTGGCACAGGTGCTACTCTGGCTGTGATTTCTGGTTGCGGGGGGGTCTTGGAAGCCTGTTTGGGCTGGGCTTGATGTATTCTGTGCAACAGAATAACAAATTAAAATCATTAGTCATTACTGTATGTACCTTTTAATCATGGCTTCTCATCCCAATGCTTTTGTTTAGTTTCTTTGGAACAGAAGCAGCTGATGATTGTAGCGTGGTGATCACAGCCAGGCTCGGGCCTCTTTCTGTGTGTGTTCTCTGTTTAGTGAATTTAAACTGGCTGTAAGTGTGAATTGTTGTCTATCTCAATGTGCTACCCCTGCGACAGACTGACAATTATTACAGTTATTATGATTTTGTATTTTCGGAGTACTTTTTTTTTTATTTCGTACTGACATTTTTTTTTAGTTCATTTTATTTTCAGTTAATTTCCAGGGATGGATATTCTAGTTTCAACTTAACTTTTTATTGTTTAAAAATGTTTAGGGTTTTTTTTGTTTGTTTGGTTTTTTTTAGTTTTTCTTAGTTTCAGTACCAGTTTAGGTTTATTTTTGTTTTCTTTTTTCAAATATTACGATATGGAAGTTTTATGTCAGAGGAAAAATTTGGTCAAACAAGTACAGGTATTACAAAAAGCACATGCTTCTTGAAAACAGTTGACTCACAGGCTTGTAGACATCCTGAGTCTCAATAATCAAGCCTAGCAGTGCCTCATCAGGCAAGTTGGAAATGCATTTTACTAAATTAACAGATTATAAAATTAAGGATATTTCCCTTATATTTTTATTTTAGTTTAGTCAGTTTTCAAAGTCCACAGTTTTTTACAGGTTTTTTTTTTTTTCAAAACTGTAGAGTGTAGGCCATTGGACCATTTTCCTTCCTGGATGGATTTTCTGTTCAAATATCTGAAGTGCGTTCTTTCGGTATTTACAGCAGGTAAAATAAATATTGAACATGTCAACAGTTTTCTAAGTAAATATGTTTCTTAGAATTTTATTGACATGAAATTCTAACCAGATGTTGGCAACTACGTCAACATCTGTATCAGCATACAACACTGGCATGCTTCATATAACTTAACGGAAGGATGAATGAAAAAATGTATCTGCTGCCAGGATGATGATGATGATGAAACAAGGGTGGACGTTTCATCAAGACTGATGATCCCGAACACAGAGCCAAGGAGGTTTCAGAGGAATAAAATAAAGCTGGTAAAATAATCCAGCCAATCAGCTGACCTAAATCCAAATGAAATTCTATTGAAAGAACTAAAGGTCAGAGTTCACAGAAGGGGTCCACTGAACCATCAGGACTGTTTGTGTGGAAGAATGGGACAAAATCACAC